AAAAAAAAAAAAAAAAAAAAAAAAAAAAAAAAAAAAAAAAAAGCCGCAATCGCGATCTGCGGCGGCAATTCGGCGGGAGGCCCTTCGCTCCGAGCGGGAGTGAGGGACCGTCCGCCGAATTGCCGCCGAATACCTGGACGTGCCGCCCCTCTCCGGAGCGGCCGCCCCAAGCACCTGCTTGCCAGGCTGGTGCCTGGAGCCGGCCCTGGTTAGGGCCAAGCACTTACAGAGAGATAATTGTGTACACAAATGTGCCTTTGTGCGTGCAGACCAGCACTTGGGTGCACAAGCCCAGTTGCACAAGCAAGGACACATTTTGCCCATGCAAATGTGGATGCATATGCAGTTACCAATCTGCAGATGGAAGTTAGGTTCCTATGTTTGAAAGCTCAGCCCTTAATAAAGCCATTACAAATTATTTCACCGAGCTCCTGGATACCGGAACAATCCAGGGAGAAAATGTTGTTTAAAAATGTTAAGTACTAAATGCCTTTATCCCTCGGCACATTAAAGGAAGGCAATAATAGCAATAACACGAGAGAGAGGCATGAGCCACAATGCTCACATTCGGATCCAGACTTTCCCAATGTTTAGTGCTGGGAACCGGGTTTTGTTCTGTGCCCATCTCCAAAATCATAAATATTAACATATGTCTCTAAAGCGAGTATAAAGCTATAATTCACCCATACGGCTCGGCTGATTTCACAGAGCGTGAGTGTAACCTACCCACGGCATGCATGGCAGAGGAGCTTGGCAAGGGAAAGGATACGTGTCTGAGGCTATGTCTACACTACCGCGGTAAGTTGACCTATGCTACTCAACTCCAGCTACGTTATTCACGTAGCTGGAGTCGACATACCTTAGCTCGAGTTACCGTGGGGTCTACACCGCGGGGGGGTCGACGGCAGAAACTCTCCCGTCGACTTACCTTTCTCTTCTTGTCGGGGGTAGAGTACAAGGGTCGACTGGAGAGTGATCTACTGTCTATTTGGTGGGTCTTCACTAGACCCGCTAAATCGACCGCCGGTGGATCGATCTCAGAGCGTGGATCCTGGTTGTAGTGTAGACATAGCCTGAGTTAGATATGGCAGAGACACATTGATCGACTGAAACGCTCACTAACCCAAATTCTGCCCTGTGTGGAGCTCCCATTTAAATCTCAGGGACGAATTTGGTCTGAAGTTTAGACACGTGTAAGACACTATCATTTACACAGCACTCTCCAACTGTCCGCATAAAAGGAACACCAGGTAACAAATCAAAAGGAGACAAGACTGATGCTGTGGGTACACTACACAGCTTTTAGCGACACGGCTGTCTTGCTACAGCTGTGCCGCTAAAAGTCGCGCCGTGTAGCTGCTGTTTGTCGGCTCTCCTGCCGACAAAAAACTTCCACCCCCGACAAGCGGCGTTTGCGTTGTCGGCAGGAGAGCCTGGCACACTGTTCACACTGGTGCTAGTTGCTGGCAAAACTTTTGTCTTTCAGGGTGGTTGGTGTTGTTGGTTTTTTTTTAACACCTCTGAAAGACAAAAGTTGTGTCGTTCAATTGCCAGTGTAGACATACCCTGAGTGTGAAACCCTGGCCCTACTGAAGGCAATAGGAGTTTTGCCATTTTGGCTTCAATTAGCCCAGAATTTCACCCTGAAAGTCTACTAACTGCTCCCTTTCTGTCTCAAAAGGATTTATGATGTATACATCCTAGGGTACGTCCAGACTACCCGCCATATCGGCGGGTAGCGATCGATTTATCGGGGATCGATATATCGCGTCTCGTTAAGACGCGATATATCGATCCCCGAACGCGCTCCCCGTCAACTCCGGAACTCCACCGGAGCGAGCGGCGGTAGCGGAGTCGACGGGGGAGCCGCGGCCATCGATCCCACGCCGTGAGGACCCAAGGTAAATCGATCTAAGATACTTCGACTTCAGCTACGCTATTCACGTAGCTGAAGTTGCGTATCTTAGATCGACCCCCCCTCCCAGTGTAGACCAGCCCCTAGAGAGGGGAAGATCTGCTTGGTCTTTAAGTTACCCTTCCTGCAAATGCTGTTCTGGTCTCTGTTTCGGGTATGTGCCAACCCTAGTTGGTTTCACAATACCCTTAAGAAATAGCATTCTGTCTCATTATCAGATTGAATTCCAAAAATTGGAAAGAGGAGGTTAAACAACCCCTCCCCAACAAACGGTATATATTTAAATGATTTCCAGCTACTTCCATCTCATGCAAGTGGTTCTGGCTTAAAATTAACTGTCTGCTCCTGGGTTAATTAGCTTCCATTTCTTTAAACTCGTTGAGGAGAATAAGGCATCATAAAAGAAAACATGTTTTTTTAAATAGAGAGAGGGGGAAATGTTTTCAGAACCAGACAGGAGAAGGAATTCCCAATTAGTTTTTTTTTTAAATTACATTAAATGGAATGTTGGATAAAACTGTGCTGAGCTTTCTGCAGAAATTTCAGAGACATCCATCCTCTGCTATCCGTTTTCACAAGCTTTTATAGCAAATCCCCCTTTTAAATTAAGCATTTCATTTGTGTGTGTCCCTCCAAGCCCACCCCACAGCATGCTAACTGTTGGGAATTAAGAGCATCAGATGGAAGCCAAGGTTGAAGCATTAAGTAATGTCTGCACGTTTGCTGAGTTATTTGCCAGAGGCTTTCTCCCACTGAGGTACACATGACTTTAGTCAATTTAATCACGTTGCAACTCTTGTCTTTTGTTTTTTTTTAAATGGTAGCAAGCCATCCAGTGGCTGGTAATAATATATTAAAGTAAAAAGCATTAATGAAAAATGTAATGATGTCAAAACACAATAAAATTCTACGTGATTGGCTCCTTGAGATGACTCTTTTTTAAGGTGGATGAGTGGATTACTTTGGTACATCCAGTCTGCAGAATTAGTTTCAAGTCTTATTAGGTATGCTTTGGAATCCACCACATCGTAGCAACTCATTAAGTTCCAGTACTCAGAGCTACTAGTTCGTGATTTACATAGAAATAGCTGTAATACCCTAAGCAGCAGCACCAATTCATTAACTCTTCTGCTGCATCTTGTTTGCGTAAAAGTCTCTGCATGTCTGGCAGCAGCGTTGATACCATCTCATGTCCTGGCACAGGTTCTTCTCACGGATCACCCTGCAGTACACTGTCCACTGGTCCCCTGTACACTTATATGTGAGAGCAGCTTCGGACAGAAATAGAAAGAAGAAGCCAGCATGTTAGAGGAGACCATCCCATGTGTGACCAAAATAACCCGACCACCGGATGAGGGAGAGATGGCTAATCTTAGTCAACACTGGGATTTGGGTGGCATGCGTTATGCTCTAAGTAGGGTTGCTGCTGAAAAGATCAGGGCAACAGGTCGGTAGTGACTTGTCTGACAAACACAATGGAAAGAGCTATCGTGGAGAAGACTGTTGCAAGGCTGGGCAAGCAATAGCTGGGCATATGCTTGAAGGCCCTGAGGAATTCTCACACTGGATCAGATCATCTGTTAGTGTCCTATTTCTGGCCCTGATTCAACAAAGGGCACACAGCACATGCTTAACTTTAAGCAGGTGAGTAGTCCCTGGGATGTCAATGGGGCTACACACGTGTAAAGTGAGGTATGTGCTCAGTGCTTTGCTGAATGGGGCCCTTTTGACAGTGCCCAGTACTAGATACTGCAGCAAAAGGGGAAAGAAACCCTGTAATGGAAAAATCATGAAGCAACCTGCCCAGTGTGGTTAGAACATCCTGGGCAGAGGGGGAAAAGACCAATCCAAAATCAATGTGCGGAGGGAGAGCTCAGTGGTTTGTGCATTGGCCTGCTAAACCCAGGGTTGTGAGCTCAATCCTTAAGGGGGGCTGCTTAGGGATCTGTGGTAAAATCAGTACTTGGTCCTGCTAGTGAAGGCAGGGGGCTGGACTCGATGACCTTTTGGGGTCCCTTCCAGCTCTATGAGATAGGTATATCTCCATATTAACAAGCCAGACTTATAGAAAGTGGAAAATGGGACACTGGAGTCACTCGCAGTCATGACCCACAATTATGGGTGGGTGCAGCTTCCCTTTTTAGGATAAATATTGCAATATTCTACAGTCATGGAGTAATATTTTCAAACGTGCCCAAGGCCCAGATCCTCAAAGGTACTGAGGCCCCTAATTTCCACTGACATCAATGGGAGTTAGATACCTAAATACCATTGAAGAGCTGGGTTTAAGTGGTTTGGGAGGTTTCAAACGTGACACAGACACTTAGGAGCTGTAATCTCATTCACAAGCAATGGGGCGTAGGCTCCTGAATGCCTGCGTCACTTTTGAAAATGGGACTCAAGTTCCTAAGTCACTTCGGGTCTGGCTACACGGCAATTAAACACCCTCAGCTGACATGGGCCAACCAGGGGTGTTTAATTGGCACATGAGGCTAGGGCTACCAGGCTGTTGATGTAGGCATCCGGACTCAACGGCTTTGGTCCCCGTGAGCGGGGAGGGGCCCAGAGCCCAGGCTCCCGCCCAAGCATAGACGCCTACACCGCAATTAAACAGCCCCACCAGCCCAAGCCCCACCAGCCTGAGTCCGCTGGCATGGGCCAGCTGTAGGTGTTTAACTGCAGTGTAGATGCACCCGTAGACTGCACTTCTGAAAATGTTACCCATGGTCAAAACCACTCCAGCCTAAAGCAGTGACAGGGCAGCATTTTATAATGATCATTATTTATTATTTGTATTACTGTAGCTCCTAGGAGTCTCGGTCCCGGACCAGGACCCCACGGTGCTAGGTGCTGTACAAACCCAGAACAAAAAGGCAGCCCCTGCCCCGAGGTGCTTACAATCTAATTCTGGATGGTTTCTGTAGCGTACTGGAGTATTTTTCTAAATAATAAATTAAATAGAGATATCCTATCTCCTAGAACTGGAAGGGACCCTGAAAGGTCATTGAGTCTAGCCCCCTGCCTTCACCAGCAGGACCAAGTACTGATTTTGCCCCAGATTCCTAAGTGGCCCCCTCAAGGATTGAACTCATAACCTAGGGTTTAGTAGGCCAATGCTCAAACCACTGAGCTCTCCCTCCCCCCAATAAGAATTTGTACGATTCTTATTAATGAGGCTTATATTGTGGAAAATAGAAATCTGTTTAAAGATAACCAAATGATAACTTATTTATCCAGAAGAAGAGCAAAACACTCCATGCTGATAACTGGTATATATTTTTGCTGATATCAAGTATCGTCGTTGCTGGCATCGATGATTCCTCCTAGGCAGGTTTAGAAACAGAAGCATCCCAAATCATTTGCAGGGACTTGAACTGCACCACTCTACTAAACACAGTTTTGTGCTAAAATGTGAATTAGAATAGATTTCTCATCTCGTCGGTGGGTCAAAGACTTATTCTTCAAATGAAAGCCTTCCTCCCCCGCCCCCCTTCTATGGTACATGCTAACATTTCTGGGAAATAGTCTCATAAGTTTTTTATGATTTTAAACAAAAGGATTTAGAAGCATTTTGAAGCTCTTCAGCTGGACCAGTGACACTCTTCGTTATACGGTTGTCACTCAGAAGAAAATTTAGCCCATCGTATTTTAAAGAGCTGTTATTGAAAGTAGTATGGATTTTCAGGGAAACAAATTCCAGCTCAGAAGCCTCGTGTCTAGTCTTAAGTGTGGTTCTACTCGAAAAAGTGACTTGGTAAAAATGGCTCCCTTCCTATTCATCAGATCTGCCCACTGTGTGTATATGCAGAGTTCGATCTACTGACTTCGGGGCCAAAAATAAACAGGGCTGCTTCTTACGTCTGTGTGTCCGGCCCAGCTGAGTGTGTGTGAGCTGGAGTCCATTCTGGTGTGCCATCAACAGCATTGTTTAAATTCTAGCCAGTTACACCGGAGGAAAAGGGAGTCCATCGAGGGCATAAATGAAGGCAGTGGTGTTGCACAAGTGTAGTTTACAGCCTAATGTGGCCTGGTGCCCTTTTTTACTAGTGATATGTGAGAAGGAAACCCCCCTCCCCCCCAGCTCAGCTGTCAGATTCCAGGTTGAACTTGTGGGGCCTGCAGTTAGAAAACACATCTTTTACTTATAAGCTTAGCACATTTGACACAGAAAATAACGGAGACAAAATAGCCATGGAACTCCATGATGCAGTATTTACAGAGTCACTTCTGAGTAGAACCACTCTTTAAATACAGAGTTATGGGATCTCGCAAATAGACAATTTATCACCAGCAGCCTCAGCGCAGCTGGGCAAATAGGAGAGTAGTTAATTAAGGGAGCGGGAGAAAGAAAGTTAAATTGGAGACTCCTTCCTCCCTGCCCAGAAATAAGTGATTTCAGCAGGTCCCATTCTTAAGTCAGCAACTAATCTGGGGAAGGTCCATCTTCCCACAAAAAAGAAACACCTTTCCAAAAAGCTACAACCCTGGAAAATTCTACTTTTTTTTGGACAGGTGAATAAAATATTATTGTATTCATCATCACTTATAGTGAAAGGCAGGTGAGAAGATTTTGTGCTTGGGCTGGATACATTTTCCAGGCTTTTCCATTTCAATTCATTTCCCTAATCTTATTAACCAAGCAAAATGCAACCCAAGTCACTAATATTCTCTGCTTATCCCATTTTACCCATCATGGGACAAGGTGTTTGAAGGGTGGAATGATGACTGAGTGCGGGTGAATGCCCTCACCCAAAACTCCCAACCCCCTTCTCTCTGACCCGCAGATATGCCTGCCTGCTCCAACTGATCACTCAGGGAACATGGCTCGAGGAATTCTGGCTTGGTGGAGGTCTCAGGCAGAGTGGATCTATGAAGAATAAAGCATCTCTCTACTCTGGAACATTAATTATCCAGAGATTCTGATGGTCTCCATGCTTCTGTCTCTGATGAGCCATCGGGAACCTCGTTTCTGTAACATTCAGCACAAGGACTGTGTTTCCCAGATACCTGGGCAGCATATATGCTCTGGCGTTTGATGGCTTCAGGCTGATTATTTAACCTCCCCAAGAATTGTAGCTCTGCATCCACCCACTCACCGAGTCTGGGCGAGGTAATTGTGTTGACATTTATCTTCTCATTGCAGACCTCTTGGTGACACTGCCTGTAGGCTGCTGGCTTGGATAGGACAGGGCACTCGTTGCCATGGCGGCCGGTGACTTTGTGCATACACTGCACCACACGTGACTGGAGGCCCTTCCCGCAGGTTGAGGAGCACTGGAGAAGAGAGGGACATCTTAGTGCAGTGGTTCTCAACCTATTTACCACTGTGGGTCGCATATGCAGCTGTGTATGTGTTGTGTTGGCCACATCCACGCAATATAGATACTACCTGTAGGGCCCTGAGGATGTCACATGGGTTGCTGCTGTGTGTGGATTAGGCCGCAGGTTGAGAACCACTGCCTTAGTGAGTCACAGGCCAGCCCCTGTGGCTTGGAAAGACACACCGACCACAAAATCGGGGACTGGAGCGAAGGGCACAGTGAACCTGCAGCAAAATTCTGCATGAGAGACTCAACAAACGCTGGTGTAATGTCCTTCAGCTACCGTATTTGCCCCTGCTGAGTCTCCAGGCTGGATCATACCCACTAGACCTATGTGCAAAGAGAAGCATCTGGCTCTGTGGTAAGGTGGAAGGCAGCTGCCTTTGTGGCACCCTTCCTCCCCCTCTACTTCCTCCTTGTGTCTCTCTGGGTCCATCTGCAAAGCCCATGGAGCAGGCCTCCCATTCCGAGTCAACAGACTTGGGGTAGTGGCACTTGGTGCTCTAAAATAACAGTGTTTTGAAGTTGCAGCTCAGGGTCTGAAGCCTGGCTAGCGGGGTGGGCTTCAGCGCCTGAGCTTCCAGCCTGAGCTGCAACTTCAAAGTGCTGTCCCATGCGGCTATGTATAGAGTGCTATAGCAAGCACCACTACCCTGATTTTGTTGAGCCGGGCTGGGAGGCTCACTTCGGTGGGCTGTGTAGACGTACCTTCTGAGGCGGTGTAGACGTACCTTCTGAGGGTACGCGCCTCACAGCCTGGGCAAACCGGCTCGCACTAGCTTGCTAAAAACAGCAGTGTGGATGTTGCGTCTCCGGTGGAGGCTCAGGTTAGCCACCCAAACTCAGACCCAGGGGCTTGGGTGGGAACGAGAGACCGAGCTGGCACCTGAGCCGCACTCTGCATGTCTGCACTACCTCAAGCGGAGACAGCATGAGTCTGTCTACCTGGGCAGGGAGCCTTGCTTCTAACTGTAGTGTAGACATAGCCTAACCTTTTGGAATCTGGGTGAAAGGGCAGGCAGGGAGGGGCAGAAAGGGGACGTAGTTCACCTCACCAGCCACTCAAGGGCATACATGGAAAACGTATATTGCCCGAGGCTGCATTAGCTTCTCCATTGCATGGAATCCCACTTCACTTTCCATGAGCCATCCCAAGAGACCCAGTGGCTCCAATGGAACCCCACCGGCTGAGTTCCTAAGGGTGACCTCTCCACAACACTGACAGTCTATCAAAGTTCCTGCACTGGAGATCATGCTCTCGCAGGTGGTATGGCGGTATAAAACAAGAGAGGTGGGCAACTCAAGTACTCAAAGGTCAGTCCCTTTCCTCCCACATACAAAGACTACAGGGGAAACAGAGAAGGCGGCGTTTCAATATACAGGAGGAAACATCAGGTATCCAAGTATTCAGCCGCCTCTATTCCTGCAAGTCCCTTTGGCTCTCGCCTGGCTTCCAGGGGGCAATTGGAAATTGCTCTCCATTACCTTGGCTTTTATTTGCCAGGAGGCCAGGCCTGTTTATACGTTTTCTTTGTTGTCATACAATTGGAGTCCCCCCACCCCCTCGCCCCACACTCATGATTTACGATGCCCTACTTGCAAGCTGCTCAACTTTAATAAAGTGAACGCGGCAAGCAGAGTGCAGCGCCCCAGCTGGAGTTAATAAAAGAACCTTGTATTGAAAATAAAGAAACAATGGGTTGCAAGACTTTGGCAGGGTGCCTACGCCTGCTAGTGCCACACACAAACAAAACGGAGGAGGGAGGCATCCGAGATGATGTTGGGCTGATATGGCAAAGAGTGTATTGAGATGGTGGAATCTCCTTCCTTAGAGATTTTTAAGGTCAGGCTTGACAAAGCCCTGGCTGGGATGATTTAGTTGGGAATTGGTCCTGCTTTGAGCAGGGGGTTGGACTAGATGACCTCCTGAGGTCCCTTCCAACCCTGATATTATATGATTCCCCTCTGGCTTTCCTGAGCACTGTTGGGGTAGCATAGTTATCCCTGGCCAAGCACTGCCAGTCTCAGGGTGATAATCTTTACTGATTAAACCCAACATTTAAAATCAAAAGGATACACTTCAGGTGGGATGAAGATGGATAGAGAGAGAGATTGGCTGGCAGATAAGATGGAAGTACCATCAAAAACCAAACCGTTGCTTTAAGCCACAACCTAGAATAGGGGCAGTGCTGTGGTGCATTGGCCAGTGGGAGCTCCTGAAGGCATCATGCATGATACCCTATTGCTGTGGTATGCCACTGCTACACCTTGGAAAGGGTACACTACTGGTTCCCCAGCTCTTCTGCCTGCTGCAGAAGAGCAGAGCCAAGCCACAGGCTTCTTGCCCTCCCTGTGTTGCTAGAAACCTCAGGTGCTTCTGCTCAGTGAATACACAGCGAAAAGAGCATGGCTTGGTCCCCGCATAGGAGTGCAAAGAGGTTTTTGAGGGAAGGCTCCTTGCAGTCTTTCCCTTCTTTGCTGACCAATGAAGGGCTAGATGCCACCTGGCTTCAAATTATTAGAACCATGGAAAATAGGGATGGTGAAACAGTTCTTCTGAATTGCTAAAGTCCTTATCTTTATTTCCAGGAAAGAGTAGGTCTGGGGTAGGTCTTTCCCCAGCATCCTCCGTGGTGAAGGCTATGAAGAATCATTTAGATTCGTAGCAATGTCCTTATATTCTTTAATTGCTCCCTTTGGTGGCCCAGCGGAAGCACTGCTTCTCATAGAGGTTTCCTGCTTCTGATATAATCACAGAATTCCTTGTTACTTGTTTTTACGCCGTTAGTTACATTTGCTCTTCAAATTCCATATTAGCCTTCTCACTTCCTCCGAATGTACTGCCTGCCATATTTCACACTCCTATTTACTGACTTCACTAGGGCTGGATTTTCTGAAGGATCTCTGTTTGGCTTGAATAACCTCTTGGCCTTTACTATTTAGCCCCATTGGTTTATTCCTTGCCTTCTTGGTCCCTTTGTGTTCTGAGGAATGCATGCCTTCTGAGACTCTATTATTGCTTCCTGAAAGTAGCATCCATGCCACAGGTAAGGATTTTAAACAGATGGATGAAGACAGATGGATGGGGGAGTACAAGGAAACAGTGAGAAAATATAATATGGCCACTATTTCTTGATGGCACCACCATAGTTACTTTTTGTACCATCTCCTGCATGTTACTTAGGACTAAGTGAAGAATGGCCCCTCCCAGCCTTGGGGGCTCTACAACTGGTTGTTTCAAGAAGGAACCATTTAAGGTGTCAGACTGTGGCCCACTGTAACATTTGACCAGTTTATATGCAGGGAGCTGGTGTCTCAAATGGCAAAGGTTTCATTAGATTTGGTTGCCACTTTGATCTCTCCCAATGTTTTCATCACATTCTCCTGATGTGGAGGCTGGTAGTATAACGTTACTGGCTTATTTGCATTCGTAGAGCTTGGAGAATTAAAATCAAGTACAGATTCACCTGGATGGTCCTTTCCACTCATCCAATGAAATACAAGAATAATCAATAGGACATGGGTAGCAACTGTAATCTTCAAGGTGCTTTGCAAACATTAACATTAATTCTCACAACACTCCTGCGAGGTTAGTGAATAATATACCTCCTTTGGACAGATGGAGAGGCTGAGATACATAAAGATTAAAATGACGTATCCAAAGCCACGGAGTTCTGTGTCAGGAGAAGAACATGGCAGCTCCATGGCTCTCAGTCCTGCGTCTCTCTCTGTGAGAGTCTTTTTTTTTTTTTTTTTTGCTTGCTATATTTTTTTAATATTCCTACACAAAATGGATTTTTCGGATAAAGTGTGTTAATATTTTCAGTCACTGAGTTACAAATGTTCATGAGTGTGTGTGTGTGTTTCTGTCTGACTCTGTTAGCCAGCAAGGAGGGCAGGCCATGAAACTTTTTCCACAGACATTGCCAACTCCACTCCTTAGACAAATAACAGCAGAGTTTTTGCCCTAAGCAGTTTGATTCCTACTCCTGGGAGACTGGGATCATCACCTATGCTATGCAATTAGTCTTTCACAGCCAGGAAGACAGATTTTAACATCTTTCTTGAACTCTTCGGGCTTGGCAGTTAAAGTAGGGTTGGACATCTGGCTTATTTTAAGAAGAAATTTTCAACTCTATACTTGGATAGTCTCTTTACAAAGGAATTTCAATAGGAAATAGGAATAGATACAAATGACATAAAGGGGGGGATTGGTTACTCATGCTGTACTGTATTCAGAAGAGATGACATTGTTAAAAATAGAGAAATCAAACTCGAAGTGAAACTTCCCATAAATACTCCTGGCTCCTGTTCTGCTTCTGGGTAAGTATACCCATTGCCACAGCACCTCTGCTCCCTCTCCCACGCTGGGGAAGCAGGTAAGTATACACATGGCTGGAGCAATTCTGTGGGCCAGATTCACTGCAGGTTCTACCAGCACAGACCCTGGTACAGGGCCCCCAGAGAGGTAAAGTCTACGCTGGGCACGGCAAGTTCCAGTGGTGGAAGGTGGCTGCAACCTCCTCTCCAATGGGAGAGTCACAGGCAGCCAATGCAGCAAAACTCGCTCCAGAGAGGGGTATGGCCTGAGCTGCTGGGGGTGTATGGAGTCAGCTCTTCCTCTAATGCAGCTTCACCTGGTGCAGCTCCACTGTGCATGCTGCTTCCCCATCATACCAGAGTAGAGCAGCAGTGGAAAGTCTGTCTGCCCTGCTCCAGGGATGAAAGCCCTCTGGGATGCAGAACCCCTACTCCAGGCACTGAGGCCAGATGTGACAAATTGTGCTTAGTATATTTAAAATATTTGTCAGCAAACACTGGACTTTAGTTTTTTGGTAGGCATCAGACCATTACTTTATTATTAGCAAAACAGTTTGCACCTGTAGGGCATCTTCTTGAGGATCGAAGGGCTTTACAAGCACTGATTAATCCTCACAAGATGCCCAGGTGTCT